GTAAAGAGCTCTGTATTTGTCCTTTCACCCCACCGGCTGATTTTATTCCTTGAAATTCAGATTCTGCCGTTTGATGATATTTCTGATTATGTTGTTTATGAACACGATACAGTTCGAAGAGGGAAACCTCCCGATCATTTCACGTCTGACTGCTCACTGATTTGGTCTTAGTCAAGAACTAGACAAATGATTGTTCAGTTGATTGATAGAATATTATTTGGCAGCTATGCTGATAATTAACGTCTTGAAGTAATTTTTAGGCAAAACAATTTTGTGATTACAGGTTGTCCAGTGTGAAGACTCCCTGTTCTCTGTTTTATATCACAGTGAAGTGAACACATCTGGGTTTTGTTCACTGATGCCTGAAGACGTCACACTGGACCCTGGAATTTGGAACAGATTCTGTAGCAAGTTTTCACATTTCATGGACTAAACAACTCGTCAGTTAACTGAGGAAATAGTCACCATGAATATAGTGTTCAGCTGTGGCTCCTTATTAAAGCCGACGAGAATCCAGTTTTCCCAAACCTCTGACAAGCAGAGGCTCGTTTTCAGTCAGAAACATGAATCCTCTTGTCTGATTTTCCTACACAGAACATGTTCAACACTATGTAGCCTCAGTTCTTTAATGTCATGACATATTGTAACAGTGTCAGTTGGTTTCAATAGACCCTGTGGGGCTTTAGTTGTTGTACTTATTGGTATGTTGAGTTCTAACCTGTGCAAATGAACAAACCTTGAACTGGAACAGAGGTGAAGACCTTTGTTTACATGAAGGTGTGTTGTGTGTTTTGTAGTTTCCTTTGTGTAAGGCATCTCTTGAAAAGCCTTTATAAACAGAACATTTTATTATGAACTGTGATTTTATATTTGAGTAACGTTTTCTACAGAGGTGAACGAACCAAATTCAGAGACTCTCTTCTTTTCCTGCTGTAACATAAGTGACACCGGTATGAAGCTGATGTGCCTGCTTTAGTTTCCTGGTCTGACTCTACACACAGAACACACACATGTCCAAGCACACACCCTCAGTCCAACACACACAACATCTTAATGAAGCGAGTCCAGTTTTAATCACCTTCCTGATTGCAGCCAATCAGTGTTCATCTGTCACACACACGTACGCACACATAGATGTTAGACAGACTCCAGTACCTCCTCAGAAAAGTCAAAGTGGAGCTCTTGCTGGATTCTTGTTGTGCTGCGCAGGTGTTTGGCTCGCTCAGCTCAGTTCCTTAACGAATGTTTGCCATCATCCAAAGCAGCTTCTGTCATCTGACACACAACACACGCATCGTTCAGAACACACAGGCACGCACACATTGACGGTTAGTTTCATTCGCTTCAGAGGTCGGTGGAAACGATCCAGCTGATTGGACAAGACTGGGTCAAACAGCAGGAAGTCAACTACAAATCACAGTTGGCACATAACTGCTCGTTAACCCGGAATACAAACCAACCGGTTCTCTCATCGTGTCATATGTGCGGTGAAGTGTGCACGTCGCTGCTGGAGGCAGACTGTGGGGAAGCTGGTAAAGCTGGTAAAGCTGGTAAAATGTGGACAAAGGGACAAAGAAATAAATCAAAACAATATTTTACAGCTGTTTTCATGTGACAAGTAAAATGTTACATCCTCATGATCAGTTTTACCTCATGGTTTAAACGTGATTCAGTGTTTTTGATGATTTGATCATTGACGCCTCAGGAAAAGGAAAACATCATAGTATTGTCCTACTTTGTGACATTGTTGTGAAATTAGAAGCAGTTGCTTATTGGTGTTTGGTTTAACAGCCCATAATGTTCTTATTTAAACCAAACCACATTTTCCATCTGTACTGTTTCTGTGCCACCTGAGCTGAATCCCACTTCTCCTAAATGCATCCATGTTTCCCTCACTTGAATCTTTGTTTGCATCTTAGTCCTGCCCACGTGAGATGCAAGGAAAGATGCATGGAGAGCATGTGAAGCGTTCGATCACAAACTGGATCCACTCAAGTATCATCGGTTATAGCTCCTCCAGGCGGCCTCCTCACTCCTCAGCCCCTGGAGCAGAAATAAGAGCTTTACAGCGTCCTTCATCGTGGTGGACCGGAACGACTTCTGGGTCAATGGAGGACCGAGGACCGATAAGATCAGGATATTCACCTTTATTGGCCAAGTATGTTACACACAAGGAATTTGTTTTTGGTACAGAACCAATGGCAGTCATCTGCGGCACTAACACCGACGGCTCTAACCATCGGGGGCAACTTGGGGGTTCAGTGTCTTGTCCAAGGACACGTTGACATGTGCAACTTGGGCACTGTGATTTGAACCTCCACCCCTCCGGTTGGGAGATGACCGCTCAACCCACTGAACCACAGTCACGCCAGGAAGGGAATTAAGATTCATCATTGTGGTATTTCTGACCATTTCACAAGAAACTTGGCAGGTTCCCTTCCTTCATGTAGTGGGTCCAGCACCTACAGCCATTTTCATTTGGGTTTGTCACTTTAGACAAACATACTGAAGCACCAGTGAACTGCGTGGCCAGTGGAGATGAAACGGACTGACCTGTAATCACACCCTCTTGCACCGCTGACCTCTCAGCCCAGCTAATCCTGGCCTCACTGACACACACAGCCTTAGACATATAAAAACTCAGACAGAACTAATCAGCATCGGCTGTTGCTTGGAAAGGAAGAGCGACGTTTAGCTGTTTCACAGAACGACATCCAGCCTCACTGAAGCGTTGACCAATCAGACGGCCATCATGAGGCTGACAGAAAGAACTCATAGCTTTACACATCTTGTCTTTACCTTTGAATACTGCTGTGGGAAGTCTTTAGGAGGAGACTGCTGATTTAATGCAAGTTATCAGGAAAACTAATGGAAAAGCTCAGGACAGAAACTGACAGATCTGAACACAGTGGTCCAGTGTGACGTAAAGCATGTGGTTTCCTCTCCTCACCGGTATTTCATGTCATATTTTCCACTGCGGCCCCTCAGGGAGAGCACGGTGAGATATGTCCTGCTGTGTTTTCTTTCATCATGTGGTCTCAATTCCCATCGCTGCTTCACGTGATGGATGGCGTCTGTAGGAGTCGGTGGGGCAGAGCCCAGAACAGCAGGTCCATCACTTTTGTTACCTCCAGCTCCATCTCCGTCAGAGGGTGACACCCTCCAGATATGTGTGCTGAAACGTTGTTCCCAGATCCGTTTGCATCATAAAAATACTTTTGTTTACATACATTCATAGTGAGTTGTCACCACAAAGATTCATTTGAACTTCATTACATATATTTTCTTTAGCTTCTAAACAAGAGCCAATTCAGAAAAGTACATTTAATGTTGCATAGAACCTCAAAACCGGCCCAGTCTCACAGCTAAATGTATAATAATGGTCCACAACACAAAACACACTGGACTCACAGTAACGCTTCCAAAATTGTGACATTGCAACTTTATCTGGATCAAAGTTTTTGACATAGCGACGTCTTTCTGGCAGTAAAAATGAAGCTAAAAGGTTGCAATTAGGCGCGGAAGCCACATGGTTACAGTTTGGGAAAGAGCCTGGGTTCAACAAAACAACATTGCACAATATACAGATACCTCTCTTCATGTGTGAAAGGCATCAGGACCTGTGTGTGTGTGTGTGTGTGTGTGTGTGTGTGTGTGTGTTGGACCAGCTTTTACACAAACCAGTTGTGTAATTTTTTCCAGTGTTAATCAGCAAAGAAACATTTTTCACATGAGGAACTACACTTTTTGACAAACTTCAGCTGTGCACAGACTGAACGTGTCCAACATGACATAACGCTAATGACTGACAGCAGATTAAGGGAAACATGCTGCTGAAAATTGCTCCAGATTCACTTGCTCACTATAAATATGAGGCTTAAATACACAGTGATGGGTGAGATTATACATATTGTAAATATTATGCTAATGTTGATGCTTATCTCACATTAAAGGACTATTGCTCATTCTAACTTTATCCTGAATGTCTTGAGAGAAATGTAAAATGCATTTTAAAGAAGTAAATGATTAATTTAAAGTGAAGCTGCTTTAGTTTGTAGTAAAATATGTTGTTTTTTATCAAATTGAACATCTCTGGTTTTGTCGGATCACTGGAGTCGATGAAAACACACTAACACAGAACCGATGAGCCGATGTAGAGCAGACAGTGGTCAACTCTCACAGTCAGTTGTGTGTCAGCAGTTGACAGAAACACCAGATAAACAGGACAAATCATCAGAACAGAGGAGCCTCTAACGTTTCTGCCTTTCTTTACTGAGGACTGAGGGATGGCCTTCATCCATCACTCTATTAGTTTTTATTGGAGGTTTGTGAGACTCCGTATGTGTGATTAATAAATTCAGTTCAGTTCAATTTTATTACACCGTACTATTATTATTATTAGCTTCAGGGTTCATTTGTTCTGCTTGTGCAGGTCGTTTTCTGGCTGCTTTAGCACCGAGTCCCC